CTACTTTGTATTAAATACTTGATCTCCATCACTCAACAAATCAAGTTTTAACACCAAATTTCGCCCTTTTGATGCATCTTTAATCTTATTAGATAGGTATAAAAATGCACCTGTAGCTACAGAAGTCAGTTCTTCGGTACAACTGAAAATGTATTTCTGATTTTATACAAATATACACATTTCCTTTGAAAACTAAAAATTGTAATTTTTATAATTTTTTAACACAACTGCATAATCTACAGCATAAGGCTGCCTGTGTTTACCTAACTTTCCCAGAATTTGACACCTGGTAGAGGGTGGCAGGATTTCAAACTCAACCTGCATCTGAGGACAGAGCTGGCCTAACAGGAAAGGAGCCACATGTGTGGCAGTTCCCAGTCTTTGCCGTGAAAAGTCCTGCGTTCTTACTGGAAACCTCTTTGAATCCATGCCAAGCACTACCCACCACCCTGGCCCGCATAAGCACTCACTCATTCACTTGGATGCCCCTCCCACAGTCACCTCTGTCCTGACACAACATCCCAGTTCTCTGTAAGATCAGAGAGACTGACAGGGAGTCACCTGTTTCACTGCAGGAGAAGGTGGAGTAAGGTCTCTAGCCTCACAAGGTTATGCTCTGAAACTCAGCAGAGCTGGCAGCTGAAGGGTGAATGTGGGTTCTCCATTTTGTTCCAGAACAGAAGGAGAGAGATCAGACCCAAATGAGTGCTTCCCTGCAGAGCCAGACAAACAGGAAAAAAAGAGGCGGTGGTCTCCTTCCATGTCCTCCCTGACCACATGCCCATCTATAGTTGAGCTATATGGAAGTCTCAGACTTCCCATGAAGTTTGTATGCCAGTTGTTGACTTTTTCTAAGTTCTCACATGAGACCTTGGAAAATGGTTTCATTAAACTCAGAGAATCTGCACATATAATTTCAAGCAATGCTGAACGAAGAAATGTTCCATATTTTCCCTTTATAATATAGATTTTTGTTTGTTTGTTCCTGAAGAAACCTCAAATGTACCACCAGTTGTACTTACCAAGAACAGATCAATTTCAGTAGATCTCGATTTTATTCTATAGATTCTGTGGTTTGTAAATAAGACTAAGGACTTCTGGAATAATATTCTACCAGAAGGCTCTTGGCAATTGGGTATGATCATACCAAGTTGGGGAGACTTTTCACCATTGAATTTTCAGAAGCATTTTCAAGGAACAGGTGTTTAAACAAAGGTATCATGCAAACAGAGTGCTAATGAATCTTTGCCACCCACTGCTTCCCACTTTATAGGGTGCACAACCTATTGGAAGTGGATGGAAGTGGAGCAGCTCTGACGTGGTGACCTACTATAACTGGAAGAGGAACCCCTCTATTGCTGCAGACCTTGGTTATTGTGCAGCTTTGTCTGAGGCCTCAGGTAAGACAGATAAAAGCCAGCTCTGATGAAACTCATCTTCTCACATCAAGTTTGACCTCCTGGGCATGACTGGGATCTGGGAAATAGTGTGGACTTGTGCTCTGCCATCTTATTTCATGGTTCCTTTGTGCCTCCTCCCCTTGGAGATGCAACAGTGATTAGCATGTGGGAGGGATATCTAAGTCCAGAGCAGAGACTGAGTTGTTCTTTCTTTGAGTTCACAGGTTCACCTGCCCCATTCCTTTTACCTCTTGTCTCTCTGTAGGATAACAGAAGTGGAGAGATTACAATTGTGAAACACAGTCTCCCTATGTCTGCAAATTCAAGGGCTAGGGCAGTTCTAATTTCAACAGCTTGAACATATTCTAAAGCTCACATGAACAAGGAAGCTTGTATGAAGATTCACCAAGAAAGAGCAAGTTCTACCCCCCCAAACACCTAATCTCTCATCTCATCTCTGCTGTTCTTCCACCAGTACATTCTCTGGGGACTGTAACCTAAAGATTAAGAAAACAACAATAAAATGTAGTCAATAATCTGTTACTTTGTGCTCAATTTTTGCAGTAGTGCTGTGTGAAGTGTTGCAGAGCACTTACACAAGGAAACTCTGGTAATGCCTACATCCCAGTTCCAACCATTGTTCCTAAGAACCAATATCTAACTATGTATCTGCTGGTATACTGCAATAAAAGTGTGAACAGGGCTTATGGAAGGTGATGTTGTGAACAGATGAAGGCGTTGCCCTCCCATCTCACTGACTATCCATACATACTCTTCATGTTTGGATACATGGAGTCTGATGTTGTTTGAGTAGTCTACTTCAAATATCATCTCCATAGCATAACTTTTAGCAAAATACACTCTATCTTCAATAATCAAACTTTCATAGAATATGGTTTAAAAATATTACTTCCACGGACTTACCATAAAGATACAGGTAGAGAGTCCTGGACCTTCTTACTCCTTGTTTCCAATAAAATGTCAAAAATTTAAATGGAAAATTGATATCAGGATAAAAGTTAGGAGGAGAAGAAATAAGAGGATAATAATTGAAATTAGAAGGAAAGAAAGAACATGGGAAAAGAAGAGAAAAAAAAAAGCAAAGAAAAATGAGACATTGAAAAAGTTTACTAGAGAATAAAACAGCAAAATATTGGTTTGTTTTCTTCAATGTTAAAGTCCACATATAGGCTAGGAAAGGTCTATCAAAAGATTGTAAAAATATCAATAAAAGCTGGGCGGTGGTGGTGCATGCCTTTAATCCCAGCACTTGGGAGGGAGAGCCGGGCAGATCTCTGTGAGTTTGAGACCAGCCTGGGCTACCAAGTGAGCGCCAGGAAAGGCTCAAAACTACACAGAGAAACCCTGTCTTGAAAAACAAAAACAAAAACAAAAAAATCAATATAAACAAAAATTTCCTTCAAGTCCAAGTGCTTGAGTTGAGTGAGTCAGAATGGCTACTCTAGCAAAGTTTTTCCCTGTGCTTCAAAAGCTGTGAGCGTCATAAACAGAGTAAACATTGGGTGCTCTCTACTTCCACACTGTTTTTATGTAGTAGATTTCCAGGGGACTAGTGCTAGTGGCCTTTGACTGGAATTGGTCTGAATGTGTCTCATCTTTACTGTGTACTGGAGCAATTGTCCCACAACACAGAGCTCTTCGCATAATGATTTTCTACTGTGATCTTTGTTCTGCCTGTGCTACCTATACCTGTTGGAACTCCCCAGATGTTCTTTTTTTTTTTTTTTTTTTTTTTTTGGTTTTTTCGAGACAGGGTTTCTCTGTGTAGTTTTGTGCCTTTCCTGGATCTCACTCTGTAGACCAGGCTGGCCTCGAACTCACAGAGATCCGCCTGGCTCTGCCTCCTGAGTGCTGGGATTAAAGGCGTGCGCCACCACCGCCCGGCCCAGATGTTCTTTTAATAGAAGGTACCTCATAGCTCTACCAGTTACTCACTACTGTTGTGTCCTGGATCTGTCTTCAAGTGACAGTTTTTTAAAAGTTGGGTGTGGTGGTATGTCTGTAATCTCAGAACTGGGGAAGCAAAGACTGATGGATCTCAACTACCAGGGATGAACTGAGGAATTTCAGGCCACTTGAGATACCCCATATTGTAAAACAAAGTAGACAGATCCTGAGGACTAACACTTTCTAGGCACCTTAAAAACACAGGGGTTATCACTGATACATGTGTACATGCACACTCAAACAAAAAATAAATAAATAAAACATTAATATCAGTGTTTGTGTGGTCCCATATCCCAGGTCAAGACTTACAAGGAGTTTCTTAGCTTTCTCCACTCTAGAAAAATATGAAGTATAAAGGATGGAGAATTTGGATAAATACTTTCCCTAAGCTGTGGTAAGAATTAAGTGTTTTAAGGCTGACTTCAAAGTGTCATTTTTCTCCTCCTTCTGACAGGTCTTGAAGAGATTATTCTTGCCTTTTACCATGAGAACTTGATGAATGCTGTGAGAAAAAAATTCCCATGGGAATACTGGAGTCTCCCTGGAAATAGAGACTGCAGGAGTGTCCTCCCCTCACCAATGACCCACACTTAGCCTTAAGCCTTTCTCCCAACATCTTATAGGTGTAGAGGGAGGAAGAAGCTATGCCCTTGGCTCTTCTGTAAACACTAGTAAGGGGATCTTCCCTGAGGCTTACATTCTCTCATTAGTCCCAAAAGAATTTGTTAAAGTACTTTCAGATTTTCTTTTTGTCTTGTTGGAAAGAGAGCAAGAAGGTTCTAGAGTCTTTACCTGCACTATTCTGGTAAATCCAGTTTTTACTATATTCAGTAGAAATTACCATTCATTTAGATTGCATTTTTTTAATGTTAGACTTCAAAGATGATTCTTGAAGTGCTGAAATCATCAGCCATCAGTCCCTAACTGGAGCACTGACTGTGAGGAAGTCACATCACAGTTCTCAAAGAGGATGGCCTGACAACCTTTGTCTTATTTGTCACTTGCTTGAATATTTTGGTTTCCATTTTCATGTCTTTGCAGAGTTTGTGTATGTTTCCTGTTTTTGGTTTATTCGTTTATTTGTTTGGTTGTTTTTTAAAGGGATAGTGGAAAAAGATCATGGAGTTGGGTGGGTAGGAACATGGGGATGATCTGGAAGGAGTTTGGGGAGGGGATAAGTGTGATCATAATATATTTTATGTAAAAATTTTTTTCAATTAAAAAATTATGCACAGGGCCAGAAAGATGGCTTGGTAGGTTAAAGTTTTGTTTCTCAAGCCTGATGACCTGAGTTGGTTTGCCCTCATATTCAGGGTAATTATTAAACATAACTGGATGCAGTGGCTCCCAAATGTAAATTCAATACCCCTATGAAGAAATGGGAAGCAGAGGAGCTAGGACAATTCCCCTGACCCTTGTAAGTTCACTGTGTGGCAAAAATAAAAGAGACTCTGTCTCAACAGAGAGAAGGCAAGAAATGATTCCCAAAAGTTACCCTCTGATTTCCATGGGCACACTGTGGTATTCACACACCCATACTCACATGCATACATAACATAGAAATTGATGATAAATAACATTTTTAATGGAACACAAAAACTCAAAGTGTGACTAAAGTTTTATTATTGCTCTCTGAGACTTCAGGCCACAACCTATACAGAAATGACTAAGGCAAGATCTGGAAAGAACAGATGAGGGATCTGATGGGGACTGTGGATAAAACATGCTCTTCCTGAGTGAGTCTTCATATTTAGTCTCTTGTCCATGACGAGCTTCAGGACAAATTTTGGTTATTTGTTTTGGATAAGCCTAACCACTGAATTTGCAGACATAGGGCAACTTCACATCACAGGTATTATCTCTCCATTTCAGAAATCCTGGAAAGAGAAAGAGGGTTAAGTAATTGAGCACTGTGGGTCTTGAGAACATAATGAAAAAATGCCTAAATCTGTGGCTTCAACTTAGAAGTCACTTCCTCATGCTCACCAGTGGTATAACCTAGAGGAAGGAGATATCCAAGAAACCAATAAAGAAGATGAGAGAGAACAAGACCACATTCCATTTCCTAACTCAGAGGTATCCAGGAATGTGAGAAGATGGGTACACCTCTAGGCAAGGTAGCTGTCTCTTTCTTACCTGAAGCTCTTGACAAGCTGCCACAGAAACCACGGTCTAAGGCAGTAAATGGATTCCTCTCCCAGTTAAGGTAATTCATCACATCACTGTTACTCCACTCCCATCCACCTCCATTGGGTTGTTCACCCTGATGAGGCAGTAACCAGATAAAAGGTAGGGTCCTGAAAGCTCTGCATGTGTGAAATCTCAATGAAACATTGGATTCCCTCACAACCTCCAAGAACTCAGTAGATCATGCACAATTTTTAAGAACATAGTAATAGAAATTATTATTGTCTTCGCTTCTGTTTATAAACTCAGAAACTACTGATAAAATTAGGACTCACTAAAATTTTTTTGAAATATAAATGGTGGTAAACTAGCAATTTCTTCTAAAATGGAAGTAGGATGTTTATTCTATAAAGATAAAATGTAGATTGTCTCTTTATTCTGTATTTCTTGACAACACTGAGTGCAGGCTCCCTGAAACTGAGGGAGAATTCTTCCAATGTCTCATGTGAGATCTTTGTAAAAGTCAATAACAGGCACATGACCTTCATCTGAAGTCTAGGAATCCTCAAAGAACTCAGCTCTACAACTGACCCTGCTGGTTTACCTTGTCCCAGTGTTACCCACTGTCTGACCTCTGTGTCTTTTAGGGTTCTTTCTGGGAAGGCTGAGCAAGTGTGCCTATGTCATAATAGCATATGAGAGAACACAAACAAGAGGGAATCATACCAGGGTGGGATCATGGAGCCCAATCCAGATGTATTGGTAGCTGTTCCCTGTGGTCTTCACCAGGGAAGACAGGAATGAAGCCTCAGATCCACTAAGCACAGACACGAGGTGTCCTGAGGGCCTCTTCTGGCAGGCCAACTGTGTGAGTAGCAGAATAAAAAGGAGATTTAAACTTCATTGGATAATGGCAAGGCAGAGGTAGGTAAGGGCCCAAGCTATATTGAAAGTCAGGTATTCATATCAGACACAATGAACTAGAGATAATGAAATCAGACATTCCCCCATGATCCACTTGTACTTTCTACCTCCCAAGACTCACTTCTGCATCGAACCATGTCTGTGGTATCCGAAACAAGGCATAACAGTAAGAACCATAAGCCCGGGAGCCTGTGGGACAGCTAATGCGTGGTGAGGGTACTTCTTTCAGGGAGTCTTCACCTGGAGTGGAATAAGATAAATTAAGCAATGAAAAGTGGGATTTAGATAGTTGGTCAAAATAGGGGCTATTTTTAGTAGACAATTTCTTGGAAGAAAATCAATACTAAGCCTTATTGTCTTTGAAACTTTTTTTTTGTAATCAACAGATGAAGTAAATGGTGCAACCTCATTTTTCTCTTCCTTCCTATGTATTAGTTCACGACTCTACCAACTCTGGGCTGATAGACTTAACTTCAGTTGTCCATCTATAGTCTTCCATAGAGTTCATTGTTAATCATCATTTTCCCCCTGTCATCCTACCAACATAAATTACAGCATCCTAACAAAATGATAAATCTTGTTCTTTACTGGTGACAGACCACCATGAGACTTTCCACAGCCAATGACCTGGAGGAATGCAAGATGGTGGAGCTGTTGCAGCAAGTTTCCTGTATGGATATTTCTCATAATTCTTCATGAGACTTTCCTCTGCTCCCTAACTCTCAACACTCACAGGAACTTAGTGCTAGAGGCAGAGAAGTCTTACCTTGCACCTGAGATAAGAGCATCAGGCAGGAGAGCAGCATCCAGGACAGGCTGGGAAGGGCTCTGTGAGACAGCATCTTGTCTATGAGGGAGGAACAATCAGAGTTACTCCAGGTAGTGTGGTTAGAGAGGATATGTAGAAAGAACTATGCTTTCCTTCTTTTACTAGTTCTGTAGGGATATACTGACTATCCTATCTTCCCCCTGTGGTCCAGAAATCCATGTTTCCTCCTTTCTCTGAAAGCTCCATAGGTAGCCTTGACTGAGTCACAAAGCTCTGCATTATGTGAGAGCAAGAACTCTGGAACACCTTCTCCTAGTGAGGGGTGAACCCCTGCAAGTCTCTCATCATCTTTCAGCTCCCACTTACCTTTCTTGCAGAAATCTGGAGTGGTTTGTCAGGGCAGAGATGACTCTGCTTTTATAACAGGATTTGAGGGAGGGACATCCAAGAGAAAAACTGGAATGCTGATGCAGGTTAGGATGGTTGGTAGTGCTTGGCATGGACTAAAGGAAGTTCCCAGAAAGAGCAGGAGTCTCTTCCTGGCAAAGATGGAGAATTTTCACAAATATTACCTCCTTCCTGTTAGTAGTCCTGCTTTACCCTCAGGTGTGAGTGAAGTTTAACCTTCCACACCCTCTTCTAGATAGTCCATTCCAGGAAACACAAGTGAACAACAGCAGCATTGGAGTACAAATTATGCCGTGACATAGTTTTTAAATATTATTACCTGATGAGTTAAGGAAAATAAAAGTGAGAGTTAAGGAAAATAAATGTAAGAGTGTAAATAGAATCAATCTGGAAAGCCTCACTTGTATAGACATTTCTTTATACTTGTCTGGAATACTTAAAATGACTTAGTAAGAACTGAGTGTATTTGGAAATTTAGGTATAAATTAATTGATAACAAAAGATAAATTAATGCTAAAAGATGAAATAATGACTTAGATATGCTGATACAGCTTCATATCAGTATGTAAAGTCAGCTTTCAATAAGTCAACATTCTTGTTAGAAACTTAAGAAAAAACAGCTGAACATATTTACCCTGCATGTACTTTTCTAAGGTTACAAATAAATTTCAGTTCGTTGTACTCTAGTCTGGCAATTTGTTGCCTTGGGGAACCATCCACAGAGTGGGATCTCACATTCACTGCGATCATGTAGACCCTTTCACAGTAACTGTATAAGTCTACTCTTGACTTCATACTCAGTGTTTATTGACAGTTCTTACTCGGTGACATCTATACTCATGGTTCCAAAGAAATGATCTAGTAGTTTAGCTTTGATTAAGGCAGGGTCATCAGCCTGTGTCCTTCACACTTATATATGTTTAAGTAACAAATAGCTATTGGCAGTCAAGTCCTTCAATCCAAGATACTCAAAGATTGAAAGTTTAAGAGCTGTCTGGGCTAAAAGATAAGTTCAAGGCCAATATGGGTAACTTATTAAAGAACCTATCTCAAAGCAGAAAATAAAAATAGGCCTTTAAGTATAAGTTGGTGGTTTAATATTTACCTACCATGTGCAATGCCTTGGTTTCCATCCACAGTAGCACATTCACACACACACACAAAAAGATGTCATCACCTTGAAGTACTCCTTAGTTTGATTAAACAGAGACAGAAATAGTTCATTGAAGTAAATGTTAACCCCTGTGTGCAAATGTTTTAATAGCCTTTATGACTAAATGGAAAATCTGCATACTGAAGTACAATGATTGCTTTCTAGAAAAAAATAACAATTCTAACAAACATGTAACTCACTGTTTTGTATACGGCACCTTGATTCTTTGATATAGCAGTCCTAACAGATGAAGAGCATCTATAGACCAGTGTTGACTCCTCGTTTCAATAAGCCAAAAAGGAAACATTAATTGTGAGATAAGTGGTGCACCCTCCTCTTTTTCATCCGTTAGAGCATTTCCATCCTTTATTTTACTTATTCTTGTGCTATAATCACCCAAAAGCCTGTTATGCCATTCCTTTAAAAATATTATAGTTAATATTGGTTGAAAGTAGGGAAATAACTGTATCTTCTCCATATGTTTTCAAAACTTTTCTTGAAATAGCTGTGTACCTGGACCTCTGCCACTCCTCTTTACCCTGGACAGTGTTAACATTTCTGGTGGGACACCTCTGATGGAAATCAATTCAGACAAGCCTTGCCACATAAAGTCTTTATTTATCCTGTGAAAATAACATTTCCGTCAATAAAAATTCCATTTTGTATCTGTCTCTTCTGCCAGCACATTTGCTAGTTCATTCCACTCAATTTTCTTCCTGAAAGTCTTATTTGATTATTGTACTTCTTTTATATGTAAGCTATTCCCCAAATGGCTGACTACTTTCAGGACTTTTCTGTCTGCTCTTGGTAATCTGCAAACTGAATATTATGCATCTAAGTCTAGCTTGTGTTACTAATCCTACTTGGTTTTCTCTGGTATTACTGGATCGAGCAAGATGCACTCTGTCATTGATGTGGGGGCGTGTAAAATCATATTTCTTCTGATATATCTCCTACCCCTTTCTCTTTCTCCTCTCTGATTAATATTCTTACTGTATATAGGTTTTATTTTTTTTCTGATAGTCTTTGCATATGCTGCTTCATGTTTTCATCACATCATCTTTTTCTGTTTTCATGTAAGATGATTTAAATTCATAAGGTTACTGACTCCTTATAGAATACATGTAGTTGACTTGTAAAACAGCTGTTTTTCATTTTTCTTCTTGTTTTTTTATAGAAATGCTGTTTGATCCTTTCCTAGAGCTTGCATATCTCTGTATACACTATACAGTTTTTTCTTGAACATACTATATTTTTTCTATTACATGCTTTATGAAAAGAGGTACTAGTTACTTTTTTTCTTCCTACTGATAGAGGAAGGAGGGAATTGTGCTTGGTTCTTCATCACCAGAACGTCATGGGTCCTTGTAAGGAAGCAGAAAATTCCACGACAGTACTGTGGGTCTGCCAAGAAGTATAGATTACAAGCATTTCATACTTTTACTAATGATCTACATTATAAATTCAGGAATTTCTAAAATTGCCTTTCCTAATGGATAGTAACACTGGAGGTTGCACAATATAAGCAGAAACTAAAATGCTTTGGTGCTTCTGCAAATACCAAACAGCATTTGCTTGGTCACTTCAGTTCTCTAATTAGCCTAAAGAAAATCTATTGGTTTAAAGGCTCTTCAAATATTTTTCCTTGGACTAAGGATATAATAATTTCTAAGACTTCTTATATCAGTACTACCTATATGTCTGAGTCACATTTTACAAATATCTCCTTCCAAGGTAGATTTGAAATGAAAGAAGAAAATGACTTTTCATAGAATGGGTGATGTCTTCAACTTCTCATGACATAGCCTCCATGAACTGGCTCCACACTCCACACAGTAAAAAGTTAAGCATGTATCATTGAACATTCCCCCCCCCCCCCCCCCGGCCTGGGTGGAACTGAGGAGTCCTTTTCAGTTCACAGTTAGTCTCCTCTAGAGAGCATTACTATAAAAAGACAACACAAAAGCACAGAGTATGAATGAAAATGTTTATTGTTGTTCTCTGAGAACTCAATCTACCACACACAGAGAAGCAACAGAAAATGGAGAGAAGGAGGGTGGAAGAATGCAGAATGGGAGTCAGATCTGTGAGCCTTCACTCTTGCCTCTTTCTTTATGACAAGATTACTGAAAAAAATTAGTTGCTGGCTCCATTTCCTACTCCTTGTACTTTCAGTACCTTACACCTGTAATCTTTCTACTTCAAAAATTCTAGAGTTAGAGGACATAAATTACATGGGGGGTGGATCTTGTGAACCCAGTAAAACCACATCTCTGACTCTGGTCAAGGTCCTAGTACAGGACAAGTAGATAGAAAAAAGGAGATGAGGAGATGAGAAAGAAAGGAGATGAAACAAGAGAACCAACAAGGAATTTCATAGTTTTGGGGAATTCCTAATGCCAAGATGTTGTGGGATGGTCTGTATATCAAATGTGTTGTTGATTGGTTAATGAATAAATCACTGATTGGCAGTGGCCAGGCAGGAAGTATAGGCGGGACTAACAGAGAGGAGAATTGAGAAAACAAAAAGCTGGGTGAGAGAGACACTGCCAGCTGCCATCAGGACAAGGAAGATGTAAAGTACTGGTAAGCCACAAGCCATGTGGCAAGGTATAGATTAATAGAAATGGATTCATTTAAGCTGTAAGAACAGTTAGCAAGAAGCCTGCCATGGCCACACAGTTTGTAACCAATATAAGTCTCTATGTTTACTTGGTCGGGTTTGAGTGGCTGTGGGACTGACAGGTGAGAGAGTTTGTCCTGACTGTGGGCCAGGCAGGAAAACTCTAGCTACAAATGGCGCCCAACGTGGGGCAAGAGTTTCCACCTAAAAACTAAAAAAAAGATTCTAAAACGGAGCTAAAAACAGCTTCCTAATTGTCTCTCTCAAATAAGTGGCAGCTCCCGGTTTGAGCTACTGGTGGGTTCCTAGTGTATGCACTCGACCTGCGGTATGGCGGGAATGAGGCCTCTACAAGTGACACATTAAACTGCTTGATGGATTTAGCCTTTGCTAATACAAAACAACAAAAAAAAAGGTTTCTGGGCTACATGCTGCTTGGATAAAAGCATTGACCCACGATGGTTCCCAGAGCTGGTGGTAAGCATACTGCCACCATGTTGGGAAGCTGAGGTGGGCAGAGCCAGCAGCCACAGCTGCTACAGTTTAAGACAATAGATTCACAATAAAACAGATTCAGATATAATAGTTTACAATGTATATAAAATATACATAGACTTAAAAAAGATTAAAAAGATAATATATATAGTTACAAAAACAAATACATAGTTTTAAAAAATAAAGTCTTTAAAGAAACAATAAAATTAATATAAAAAATAAGCCCCATAAAAATAGATATCACACAAAAAATCTAGATTATGTTGTCTTTAAGATTCTTAACTACAAAAAGATATTTAATTGTAAAGAAAACTGAGTTAAACCAATATACATATTTTAAAGGTACCTTAACTTCAAAATTTAGATATAAGGATATGTTACTTTAAAAAGGAGACTCTGCTTTTGTTTCCACAGAAAGTCAGAGGCTATGGATTTGTTCCAGATTAAGACACATCAGGTTTGGCCAGCCAAGACCACCTGAAAGGTCTCCGATGACACCATGGCCCAGATGATCCAACATCCAGAACCGTTTCAAGGCAACTGGCTCAGATGATGCAGCCTCACGGACTACTCCATGATCCTAAAATTTTCTTTGTTTCCCCAGAAGATACAGTGCCCCCCTCCAGCAGGAAGTAGTAAGAGAAACTACGCCCAAATTCCCAAATATACCAACCTGACTTTGGAGATGTGTAAAGGTTAAAACCTTCCTTTTTAAGAAAAGAAAAGGGGAAGTGCTGTGGGATGGTCTGTATGTCAAATGTGTTGCTGATTGGTCAATGAATAAATCACTGATTGGCAGTGGCCAGGCAGGAAGTATAGGCGGGACTAACAGAGAGGAGAATTGAGAAAACAAAAAGCTGGGTGAGAGAGACACTGCCAGCTGCCATCAAGACAAGGAAGATGTAAAGTACTGGTAAGCCACAAGCCACGTGGCAAGGTATAGATTAATAGAAATGGATTCATTTAAGCTGTAAGAACAGTTAGCAAGAAGCCTGCCATGGCCATACAGTTTGTAACCAATATAAGTCTCTATGTTTACTTGGTCGGGTTTGAGTGGCTGTGGGACTGACAGGTGAGAGAGTTTGCCCTGACTGTGGGCCAGGCAGGAAAACTCTAGCTACACCAAGACCTAGAAATGGGGTGGGAGAAATGGAAAACACAAGTCACTGATGGTTTCTGTTTCTCACCTGTGCCTTTTGACAGACTCCTGCAATAACCGTGGTCTGAGGCAATGGAAGGATTCCTTTCCTGGTTGGTGTAGCTCAGTATATCAGTGTTACTCCCTTCCCATCCACATCCACTGATTCTTGGCCATGTAGACGAGGGAGCCATCAGAAGAGAATGGCCATTAG